TCCCTAAAAGCACAGTGGGGATGGAAAAGCCTCCCCTCTGCTGTAAGAGTCCCTGAGAGCACGGCGTGGGTGGAGAAGCCTCCCCTCTGCTGTAAGAGTCCCAAAGTGCACAATGGTGGGCGTAAGCTTCATTAGCATAACGCGCGTGTGTACAGGCATGTTTTTTCTCGTGGGCAACATCATGCTTGCTTAGCGCAGGTGGTGGTGACTCCCCCTCTCGATCTTCCTTCCAAACCCTAAAACTCACCCCCGTCTGGGGTGTCCTGGCTTTGCAGAGGCCTCCCCATGATCTCCGGGTGTGCACACATGAGAAGACCTCGTGAGCCACCTCCCCAGGGCTCCTGTGTGCGAAAGTCACCGAGAGCTGGACGCACCCTGACCCGGGAACACTGTGGGGACTCCATGTTCCCCAGGCCCACGCGCAGTCAGCAGTGCTGACCCGTACGCACGGGGGCCCCGGGTTCAGCTCGCAGCAAGGTTGCCACAGGAATGGCTGGAAAGAGCAGATTCAGGGCCTAACACTGGGGATGGACCTCACGCCCCTGAATGGTACATGTGAAAACAGTTCCAATGGACCTTGGTGGCTTCAGAAAACAAAAGGGGCACCTGGGTGGCCCAGTCAGTTAAGCGAACTTTTGTTTTTGGCTCAAGTCGTGATCTCAGGGTCGTGAGAACGAGCCCCGTATCAGGCTCTGTGCTCAGCAGGGGGTCTGCTTGGGCTTCTCTCCCTCTGCCCCTCCCCACTGCTCGCTCTCTACATACATACATACATACATACATACATGTATTTTTAAAAATAGGAGCACCTGGGTGGCTCAGTCATTAAGCATCTGACTTCAGCTCAGGTCATGGTCCTGGGGTCCTGGGATGGAGCCTGCATCGGGCTCCCTGCTCAGCGGGGAGCCTGCTTCTCCCTCTGTCTGTTGCTCCCCCTGCTCCTGCTCTCTCTTGCTGTCTCCCCCTCTCTCTCTCAAATAAATGAAATTAAAAAAAAAATACAATTAAAATTTAAAAAATAAGAAAGAATGCTTTGCTGTTCTTTTCTGTGAGCAGCCCTCCCCTGAGCCCCCCGCCCCCGCAAATAATGGAGATGTCGCTGTTTCAGTGTCCGCTTTACTTGGGCACGAACTAAATCAGGGCCGCAGGGAAGGGGGCGGGTGCCCAGGGGAGGCGGGTGGGAGGCCGCAGTCAGAGCAGAGGGAAGGCGGCCATGGGGAATCGGCGGAGGATGTGGGTTTCCACAGACGGTTCTCATGGGGCCCGAGCCGCACAGGCACCTGCAGGCAGGAGTCCAGGAGCCCGGGGTCTGTGGGGGCCCTGCCAGAGGCCGCGGGGCGCCGCCGGTCCATCCGGGCCCCTGGTCAGTGGGTCTTGAGCCGGGGGCTCCGGAAGGCCGACAGGGTGATGAGGAGCTGGGCAGCGTAGTAGGTGATCATGACCACGAGGCGGGCATGCGGCAGCGGCTGGACGAAGGTGTCCCACGCCAGCACCATGTCCGAGAGCGTGAAGAGCAGGGCCCCCCCGCGGACGCTCCCGCCGCTGGCCAGGCCGCGCCACAGCATGGAGGCCAGGACCAGGGAGTAGGCCGCCAGCGCCGGGACCATGCTGGCTGGGAGGTGGAGCAGCAGGAGGCCGTAGTACGGCACGGAGACCAGGGCAATGGAAGGCAGGAGGCCGGGCCGCAGCGGAGTGAGGCCAAAGGCCCAGAGGTAGAGCAGGTGGGCCACGGTGAAGGCAGCCACGCCTAGAGGAGACAGGATCTGTCACTCCCTGGTGGCCACCTCCAGTGCAGAGCCCGAGGGGAAGGACCGCCCAGCAGCAGCATCCACGCCGGCCACCCCCAGCCCCCCACCTCCCCACATCAACCCTCCCCTCTCCCTGACCTTGGCCCCAGAGTGACCTTAAGACGCACACCTGCATCCCATCCTTACTCCTCTTGCCACTGCCCACCAGCTCCCCGTTTCGCTCTGCTCCCCACTGGGCTCCACCCACTCACCCATCCTGCCCACCCCAGGGCCCTTGCACTTGCTGGTCCCCTGCCTGGGCTCCTGTGCCCTCTTCAAGACGGGAGCTCCTTGGTGTGGCCATCCTCAACCAGCTACTCCAGACCGCAGCACCCAAAGCCCCGCTCTGTCCCTCCAGGCCGCGCACACCTTCTAAGACCCCGCGGCCCGACCCCCCGAGGGGAAGGAGAGCTCTGCGAGAGCCGGGGCTGGTGTCCAGCCGGGGGTCCACAAGAGCCTGGGGCCACCCCGCTCACCAGAGAGGAAGGCGTCAGGCCAGATGAGGCAGGCATCGCCCACGGCCGAGCACAGAAGGGCCCCCTGCAGGAGCACGCGGTGGCCGGTGCCCCGGGGCGCAGCCTGGAGGGACGCGGCCAGGCACAGCACCGGCAGGCACTTGACGAGGGCGCCGACCCAAGACGGCTGGTCTTGAGGGATCCAGAGGAGGAAGTAGGCAGCACAGGTGACAAAGAAGGGGCTCAACCGCAGGCACAGGCGCGGCTGCTTTGGGAGACAAGGGGGTCAGCGAGTCCCCGGGGGGCAGGCGCCCCGCAGCCAGGACTCAGGTCAGGGGGTTCCCGCTGCACCCCCACCCAGGAACCCGAGTCACGACCCACAGGGAGCCCAGCCTCTTGAGGGCAGGGCCCCCCAATTCCCGCAGGCTGCTCGGGTTCCCCAGCACCCAGGCCCGAGCCCCTCCCACACCTGGCGTCTCTCACTTGGGCTAAGAGGCAAGGCTTTCTGGGCAGACCCTCCTTCTGGGCGCCCATGTTGGCCATTGACCCCCCAGAATGACACCTATGTGAGCACGGGTGGCTCTGGGGGTGGAGGGGACAGCGTGTGGTTACACGTTAACCCGAGGAGCGTCCTGTGGACTCTGGGGCTGATAACAGGGCCCGGGGAGATGCTGCCCCCACCCTGGGGATGGCCCCACCTGGCACCACTGATAAGGTGCCCACTCGGCACGCAGGGTCCCTTCCCCCCCAGCACCCTGCCCCCCAGACCGGGCTTCCCCTCAGCTGCCCAGGAGGTCTGAGGCCATACACTCTCCTCCCATTGTCCCATGCCCCACCAACCGAGAGGGACCCGGTGTGGGATTCCTACACGCTCCCCTGCACCCGGGACTCTGGGGCAGGGGGTGGTGGGTTGGTGCTGACCGCCATCAGCCCCAAGGTCAGGTCAGCGCTGGCCAGGGTGCGGGGAAGGACGTCCACCCACCGTCCCCCCAGCAGGCCACCCAGGGGGGCCTCCTGGGCTCTGGCCATCAATCCCCCCCACAATTTGGCCTCCACCGACCCGCACCGCCCCCCCCCCCGCCACGGATCCCCCGTGGGAACACATGCCAGTGCGGAGTCTGACGAGGTCCTCACGGCACGCTGGCCGCAGCTCCACGAGCACATCCTACGAGCGCACTCGGCCCACCTGTGACTCCACGTCTGGCAAGAACGGCTTACCACGTGCCCACCTATGTTGGGGGGCTGGCCACCCCCAGGCGCCCACGGCTCCACCGCAGGAGACAAGGCTCGGGAGACATCACTTCCGCAAGGTCACCCAGCCATGTCACCCTCCCCAAGGCTGGAGACTGGCTTGCCACCTCCCGGAGGGCATATGGACCCAGGACACACAGGGCCAGGAGCACAAAGGGGACCCCAGGAAACAGCTTGTGGGGACCAGGCCCCAGACAAGACTGGGCAGGGCTCTGTTCCTCCTCCCAGGACATTCTTTCCTGGTCTGAGCACAAGTGACCCCACCCTCAGCAGAACATGGAGGTCCAGGAGCCCAGCTGCACTCTGAGGGCTACACCCTGGGACTGAGGAAAGGCCTGGGGTCCCAAGGCCAGAGCACAGGGACAGATCAGGCCCCCCCGCCTTAGGTCCCAAAACTCAAGGCCCGCGGCAGGGGATAGGGACAGTCCAGGGCCCCAGCCCCAGGTCCCAGAACTCAAGGCCCGAGGCAGGGCACAGGGACAGCCCAGGGCCCCGGCCCCGCCCAGGGCCCCGGCCCCAGAACTCACAGTCTGAGCAGGAATCTTAAACGGTCTTTATTTATTCATATTTGCAATACGAAATAGCTCGGCACGAACACACGCACACTCACGCCAGCCTGGGAAGAGGGAGCTGGGACAAGGTCACTTGGCAGCTGGGCTGGACCCCAGACCCTTGGGCATGGGAAGGGGACCCCAGCCAGACCCCTGCCAACACCCCCGCCCCGGGGTCTGTGGGAGGTGCAGAGGGGGCGGTCTCAGTGAGTGCATTGGGGCCCCACGGGAATGTCACCGAGAGACCCCCTTGGACGGGGACCGCCAGCTCCCACAGAACCAGCAGTATGAGGCAGAGGGTCCTTTAGCTCCCAGCCTGGGTCAAAGTGCAGGGTCCAGGGCAAGGGTTGGGCAAAGGCACGGCCCCCACTCGGGCCCTCCCTAGAGGCGGGCCTGAGCCGAGTGCAGGTGTGGGCACTGCACCGGAGGCTTTGGGCGTGGGGGGGGGGAGGGTGGACGAGGCCCCCAGCATAGCCCCCACGGAGAGGGGGTGCAGGTCCCACGTGCTGGCCCGCCCAGCCGGGCCTCCTCCTGGCTCTCCACCCACCCGCTCGCTCTCTCTCTATATATAATATATAATATAGATCTCTCTCTTTCTCCTTTCTCTCTTCTCAACTCTGTTTCTTTATTCTCGGAGACAAAACTCCATAATTTCTTTTCTCAGTGCAAATGGGGGTGGACGAGGGCCTGTCTCCCTGGCGCCAGGCTCCTGGGAGTCCAGAGGAGAGCACGTGGGGGTGGACAGGGTGGGGAGCGGTGACGGGGCAACAGGGCATCGTGGGACCCGCCCTGCCCCAACTCCGGAGGGTCCACGTGGAGGACGGAGGAGTTAACCGCCACCACCGGGACCAGGCAGTTACCTGGGAACCAACAGGGAGACCTGTGTGAGGAACCCGCTGCCCCCTACTGCCCCCCACCTGCCCCCCCAGCACCCCCACTACCCATGCAGCCCTCGCCACTCACTGGGAGCCCAGGGAGGTTGGCCCTCCTGGGGCAGAGCCGTTGGGCATCGGAGGCAGCTCAGGGGCCCGGGCGCTGTAGGGGGAGAAGAACGTAGAAAGGTCAGGGCCTCCCCCCCAGGACACGAGCTGCCCTGGGAGGCCGCCCTGTACTCACCTCTGGCTTTGGGGGGGCCCCGAGGGCTCTGGGCTCCTCTCCCCCTCTGTGGTCTGGGGGTGCTGGCAGGCCCCAGGGGCTGGGACCGAGGTAGCAGGGTCTCCGGTTGCACTGTGTGGGAGGCACAGGCATCAGCAAGGTCATTGTCACCAACCCCCTCCCGACCCCCACGCCCCGTGCCTGCAGGAAGAGGCCCATGGCCAGGGTAGTTCCCTCCATCAAAGACCCAGGGAGCCACCCCAAGCAGGAGGAGCTCAAGGCTGGGGTGCGGGCTCCACACGCTGCCTGCCCCCTTCTGGAAGCCCTTCTGCCCCTGTGGCGAAGCGGGCTGCCCCAGGCTCCGGGGCCTCTAAGGCACCCACACGTGGGCATGGGCACAGCATCGGACACTCGGCTGCTACGAGGCCCCAGGGCAGTGGTGCAGACCTGGGGGGGTCCCACCAGGGGTCCCAGCTGGTCACCTGTCCAAGGAGCTGGGAGTGGAGCGTGTCCCTCTGAGTGTGGCCTGGAGGTCCCCGATGCTGACCAAGGCCTGGCAGGGGGCTGTGCGGAGAGAGGCAGGAGACGCAAGGCTTAGAGAGCGTGGTGCCGGCCAGGCCCCTCGCTCCAGCCCACAGCAGGTACACAAGGCCAGGGGACACGGGGAGAGCGGGCAGGGCTGGCCAGCTCACCCGAGGGTTCCGCTATGTCACTGCCATCTGGGGCTTCCTGAGGTGCTGAAGGGGACGCGGGGTCCTGAGACCTGGGGTGCGAGAGAAGCAGGCCGAGGGCCAGCTGGGGTCAGCGCTCGAGCCCAAGGGACCCAGGACCTGGACCCCCGCCAGGGGCCTTACCTGAGCTGCGGGGCAGAGTGGGCCACAGGGCCGGCCAGGCTCAGGGCGGGGAGGTCCTGGGGTACGCCAAGGGACCCCCGTGGGGTGAGGAGCCCAGAGCACGGCTCCTTCTCCCCAGAGTCTTGGGGGCCAGTCAGGGCATCTGTAGGCACTGGGTCAAAGGCGGCTGTCTGGCTGGAGCCTGGGCAGGGGCGAGGGGAGGAGGGTGAGCACAGGAGGCAGATGGCCTGTGTACACCCCGTCACCCCCCCCGACCCTGTGCTTTCACCCACCCAGAGGATGGGGGCCGGAGCCAGGATAAGAGGGGGGCCTGGCCCCCCACCAGCCACACGGCCATCACCATCGTCCTCGTCCTCCTCGTCCTCCTCGTCGTCCTCCTCGCTGTCTGTGCTGCCTCCGCTCCTGCCCAGAAACCACCCATCAGCGGCTGCGCTGACACAAGGGATAGAGGAGCGGGGACAGGGGGGAAACCACAGGACAGACCGGTCAGGGCCTCGCTGGGCGTGGGGCATGGGGAGGCAGGTGGCAGCTCTCCACCAGGAGCCCGCCTCATCCTGAGCGCTCCTCCTGAGGGATGAGGGCCGACAGGACACTCTCCCTCTGCCTACAACACGCGTGGGGGGACTGAGAGCAGCGTCCCGCACACGCAGGCTCCACCACTACAGTGTAAACGTGGATTGACACAGGGCCCGAGCCGGGGAAGGTCCTCCTGGCCCACGTGGCCACCAACTGGGGAAGGGCTGAGCACACCCTATGTGCGGTCTTTCTGGTCACTGCGGGCAAAGGGACCCCCGTGCACATGGCTGAACGTAGCTGACGAGAAAGACACTCAGCAAATGGGAGAGAAGGGGGCATCTCCCAAACCCACAACCCCCACCCCGTCCGTGCGGGAAGACCAGCCGCCCCCCAAGGTCAGGAGCAAGACAGGGGTCTGCTCGCCACCCCGCTCAGGACCACGCTGCTGTGCAAGGAAGCAAAACCGCGCTGTGTAAAGTGTCCGGACTGGAAGAGGAGGCGGCCTCTGTGAGCAGGTGGCCTGCCCACAGCCGGGAGACCCCAAGGAACCCCTTAACCATCACAGTGAGGGAGCTCCGCAGGGCTCGACGTCCACGCACCAACATCCACTGTATCTCTCTACGCTCGCGACAATCTCAACACCCCACTTACGTAACAGATGCAGGAAACACTTGAACAAAGGAAGCACAGAGCTTATTCTCTAAGAGAGACCTGAGTAAACGGAAAGACGTTCCACGCTCAGGGACTGGAAGACGGGATACCGTTCCCAGGTCTCCGGGCTGACCTGGAGGTTCAGGGCAAGTCCTCCCAGTCCCGACCAGCTTCCTTGCTGAAGTCGACGGGCTGGCGCTAACTGTCCCACAGGTCCCCACAGGTCCCCAGGGACCCCGAGCAGACAACCATGTCAGAGAACTCACTTCCTGACTTCAAACCTTACCCCGACAGATATGGAGACAGGGAGGTCCTGGCTCAAGACCAGCGGGCTGGGAGGGGCCAGAAGACAAACCACACGCGTGCAGCTAGGGGCACTCAGTGGGGAGAGGCCGGGGTCTCTGACAACAGGTGCTGGGACGGTGGCCATCGCACATGCAGGAGGAGACCGGACCCCACCTCCGAGCATACACAAAACCTCAGCTCAAGACAGGATCAAGAAGTGTAAAGCATGGGGCACCGGGGGCGCTTAGTCGGTTGAGCAGCTGCCTTCGGCTCAGGTCACAATCCCAGGGTCCTGGGATCGAGCCCCGCATCGGGCTCCCTGCTCAGCAGAAAGCCTGCTTCTCCCTCTCCTGCCGCCACTCCCTCTGCCTGTGCTCGCTCTTTCTGACAAAATCTTTAAAAAGAGAACTGAAAAGCAAGAGCGAGCGTGCGCTCAAAAGAGAACGCGGGGTGAACCGTGACCTTGGGCTCACCGGCTTGGCCACCCAGCAGGTGGGAGTGACCCATGAGCCCAGCTGCCAGGGCGGTGGACTCACGAGGGGGACAGGGCAGGCCTGTGCCAGCCTCAGGGGCATAGCGGCATGGGGGGATCGGATGCAGACACCGGTCTGTGCCGCGGGGGCAGAGCCCCGAGGTGGCGGCCGTGGGGCCAGCCAGCGCCGCAGGCGTATGACGAGCGGGCGGCAGCTCACCCACACTCCGCCCGGCTCTCCCGTCAGCGCAAGGAAGGCGGAGAGAGCGGATGGGAAGCCCTGAGTGCGAGCTGACCAGGGAGGTCGGGGCACACCGGGGCGGCCACTCGTCAAGGACCCACCGACTTCCCCAAGCACACAAGCGGTCGGATCCTCAGCTGAGCGGGAACACGCCCTCCTTCCCCCTTCCCTCCCGCACTGGGGCTGGGCTGAGCAGGTCTCAGGCTCACTGCATGCCCGGGGCCTGGCCCCGGCGGGCTCCCCGGGCCGGCCGGCTGTCCTGCCAGGCGCCGTCCTCCTCGTCAGACTCCCCGGAGCCCTGGCCCTCCTCCTCGTCCTCCTCCTCGTCCTCCTCATCGTCAAACTGCTGGATACGGTCCTTGTAGCAGATCTCCAGCAGGCTGGCGTTGGGCTGCGGGGGGCAGGGCGGCACGGTCTGCGGCGTGTCCCCCTCCACCCCGGACGCCGCCCCACCAGGGACAGGCAGCACTCACGTTCTCGTCGTCGGCGTTGAGGGAGAAGGTGATGTTGGCGGTCTTGTCGAAAGGCGCGCTAGGAGAGAGGCACGGGGCGGTGAGGAGGGCGCGGCAGCTCCTGCCGCGGGGGCTCAGCACACGCCGGCTCCACGCCGGCCTGCAGCTGCAAGCCCGCTGACGGGCTACAGCTTACCCGTGGCCTCCCATCGGCGCCCGAGACCCATCCCGGGCATCCGTCCGGCTGCTCAATCGGCAGGCTGGCGGCTGAGGTCTGGCAGAGACGTGCCACCCACCCGTCTCCGCCCGCACAGGGGTGCCCTGAGGGGACGCGAGCCTCAGACCCGCGCAGCTGGCAGAGTGGCCCCAGACAGGCCACGGAGCTCGTCTCCTCTCTGCCTGCTTCTCTCGGTCCGGAGACAGAGGCAGCATCTACCCAGACAGGGCGACCGTCCAGGCACCCATGTCCCCTAGGAGCAAGGGTCCGGGGCTCACGGAGCCGTCATCCAGCAGGACGGCAGCCAGGAACCGAGTCACAACCAGCCACGGCTCAGCAGTGTGTTCCCACCTCTGTTCCACGCTTCCCTAGGCCTCCGGGCCCCCAAGTCCAAGAAACGACAACGAAAGAGACGACGGGCCACGACCGGGTGCGGCTGTCATCCAGCCTGTGTCCACTGAGCCTGCAGCGCCGTGCACACGGAGCAGGGGACCGGCCGGCCACGGTTCTCTGTGCTGCGAAAACCCCTCCGCCAAGCGCGAGGCACAGTACAGGCAGCTCGCCCCCCCAGAACGCCCAGCCTGCGGCTGGGACCCTGGACTCAAGGTCCCAAGGGCAGGGCGACCCGCAGTCTTCCACGGGGGCCAGCGACACCCAGCTCCCTGGGCTCCTTTCCGGGACAGCCTCAGGGAAGCACAACTCCTGCGCTAACTGCGGACTAGGACGCCCGACGAGAGCCCGGCTGCCGCTCGTTCCACAGCCCGACTCCTGTCTGCCAGGGGTGCTGTCGGTCTCCCCTGCGCTCTGTCGCTTGTCTAATTCAGGACACGCTTGGCCACCAAGGGCCACGGATAAGTGGGGGTCAACAAGCTGAGGGTCACCTCGGCGTCCACACCACACGGCCAAGCTCCCACACCGTGTCCTCGCGGCCTGTCCTCCAGGAACACGAACGTGCAGAGCCGCCCAGAGCGGGCTGGGCCAGTGCCACCCAGGGGTCAGGGCGGGACGGCCGACTCTGGGGACGTGAGTCCCACGGGGCCGGATGTTCAGCCCCAAAACTATATTCACCTACCTTCCATTCTAGAACGTTTCATGCCTTTCGAGGTTTTTATAGTTTTTTTTTTAATTTTTTTTTTCAGATATTTATTTGACAGACAGAGATCACAAGTAGGCAGAGAGGCAGAGAGAGAGGAGGAAGCAGGCTCTGCTGAGCAGAGAGCCCGATGCGGGACTTGATCCCAGGACCCCGAGATCATGACCTGAGCTGAAGGCAGAGTCTTAACCCACTGAGCCACCCAGGCGCCTGAGGTTTTTATAGTTTTTAACCCCACTGGGAACTATGCAACAGAGGCGGCAACAGTTTCGTCCCCGAGGACCCGGCTGTGCCCACGGCACCCATCCAGTGGTTGGTCTGTCCTCCCCTGGATGGGGTCTACTCTAGGGCCGTCCACACACCGGGCACCGGGCTGAGCGGAGCCCTGGCACACACAGAGCTCATGACTGCCCCAAGGGGGACCCCTGTCCGGCAAGACAGGCCAGCAGCGGACACCGTGCTGCACAGGGGCGATCCGCTCTCATCCGTGCCTCGGTCTCCCCAGCTTTAACGAGGCTCCTGAGCCCTGAGCCGAGAGGGAAGGTAGACACACGATGGGAAGACCCCCGAGATGTGCCCAGTGCACAAGTACCGTGACAAAGCAGATGCCGGCGAGGACCCCAGGAGCAGCTGAGGCCCCAGCTGCCTGTCCCTGGAACCTGCCCCTAAGGGGCCACCTGGCCCTCCTCCCCTGGCTTCCTGCAATGTCATATTAGGAATGCTCCGGTCCTGCCCTCTGCTGGTCCTTCCCCTTTCCCTCAGGGCATCTTAAACGCCCTCAGAGTAACCCCTTCTGCTCCGATGGCCCTTCCCGCAGGGCCTCTCAGGGTGAGCTCCCCACGGAGACCATGGCCTGGCCACCTCGCTCCCAGCCCCAACCCGGGCTCCCCTCCGGGGCCTCAGCCACTGCCCCCCAAGGAGGGACCGAGGAGCAGGGTTTGCCACTCTCCAGGCTAAGCCCCGATGCTAGGACCGGCAGGCAAGCCATGGGGGGAAGCAGGGAGGACACGGAAAGGCTGGCAGGAGGCGCCCTGGGGCCAGCAAGGGCCCCCGCCCTCCCACGGAAGGGCATACTCACTTCACACTCTCCTCCTGCTCCCCAAACTCCTCGTCATTGAAGCCGAAGTGGTCGATGAAGGCTGAGGTCATGCGCTGCATCTGGAAGTCCATGAAGGCCTGCAGAGGGGCGGCGGTCAGGGGCAGCTGGGGTCGGGCAGGACAGGCCCCCCGCCCCGCCCCCCAGCCCACCTGCTGCAGCACGGCCTCCTCGGGGAAGTTGAACTCCTTGAGCCGGTCGTCCTCGTCGTCACTGGAGGAGTGCAGGTGGTGGGTGCTCACCTGGGGCAGGGCGGCGGGCAGGGGTGAGGACCAGGCTGGGGAGGGTGCGGGTGCGGGTGCGGGGAGGTGTGGCGGAGGGCAGACCGTCACAGAGGGCTGAGGCGCCTCACCAGGTCCACGGTGTTCTTCTTGTTGGTCTCCGCCAGGGGTCCGGACACGAAGGCCTCCCACTGCTCCTGCTGCTCACCGGGCAGTTCTGCTCGGTGCAGGGGGGAGTCGGCGTGAGGGGCCCCTCGGCCTGCACCCCTGCACACCCCACCCCCAGCCCCGGGGCCGGCCGCTCCCTGTCCCTCACCCTTCAGCAGCTGCCCCAGCTGCTCGGCGTTGGGCCCCTTCTCCACGTTCTGCACCAGGGCGTTGGCCAGTCTCGTCAGATGGCCCATGTAGCCTTTGCGAGGGCCCCCGGCAGACCTGGGCGAGCCCAGAGCCATAGATGGACGCGGCCCCGCGGGCCTCGGCCCCCCACCCCCACCCCCGGCGCAGGCAGTGCCCCCAGCGCTCACTGCACAAGGTCGTTCTCCTCCCAGGAGGTCAAGATGCGCTCCACCAGGCGACACTGCTGCAGGAGCTGGGGGGGCAGAGCGGGCGTGGAGCGGGGCCGGGGCACCCCCAGACCCGCTGTAGCCCGGCCCCGAGCCCCAGCCCCCGGGCTCTGTCCACTGCCATTCCGGCTCACTCCACCTCCACCTCCACCGACACAGCAAACCTGAAGGTCCCCCTCCACACACCCCTGGCCACTGACACCCACAGCGACCGCGACCTGACGGTGCTACTGGACAGCTCCTCCCTGAGGCCCCTCCCGCCGCGCCACAGCCTTGGCCCAGAGGGCACCCCGTCTCTCCACCCACCTGCACGGCATCCCCCGTTCTCCCAGACAGACCTAAGGGCAAGGCCGGACAGCTGGCCCCCCCGGCCCGTGTAGCCGCCTGGCAAGCACGGGCAGCAGGACAGAGGGACGGACGGGGACCCACGGGGACAGGGAGGGGACCTGGGAGCCCCAGCGCACATGTTTCACCGCGGGGTTTGGGGCAGGGATCTCGAGGCTGCTGTCGGAAGGGGGCCCGGCGCTCAGCACGGCGCGGACACACAGCTCCACCTGGGCGTGCAGGAAGTTGTTGAACGTGTAGTGGAAGAACAGGTCCTGGGGGGCAGCACAGGCTGGCACCAGAGGCCCGCCATACCCCCGCCCCCGCACCCCTGCCCAGGGCTCCCCCTCCACACCCCTGCCCAGGGCTCCCCCTCCACACCCCTGCCCAGGTCCCTCTCCATGCCCCCTGCCCTTGGCACCCCTGCTCAGGGCCCCCTCCAAGCCCCTGCCCTCCGCACCCCTGCTCAGGGCCCTCACGCTCCACACCCCCGCCCAGACCACCCGCAGCCCCGCCCTCCGTACCAGCATGGTGTTGGGCACGTCCAGCGCCAGGAGCTCCTGGGTCAGAGCCGCATCATTGGCGCTCAGCGCACTGGCCAGCAGCTTGACCACGTGCAGCCGGGTGTTGCCCAGCGGCGGGGCCAGGCTGCCCCACGTAGTCTGCAGCGGCTCCAGCTACGGGTACAGGGGAGCCTCAGCGCCGCACAGAACCACAGGCCACCCTCCCCGCCGCCCTGCCTCCTCGGACCCCCAGCCCCGACCCACCTCTGGGGGCTCACGCAGGAGCTGGTGGAAACGGCCGAGCCACGGGCGCAGGGCCTGCAGGATGCCCACACTGGACGTTGTGCTGTCCAGGGCCGCCTGGGCCAGGAGCTCCAGCTGCCCATCCACGCTGCTGAAGAAATTGTTCACGGTCAAGACTCGGACCTGCAGGAGAGGACAGGAAGCAGGGCTGTGTGCGGGATACACTCATGTGCGGCACTCCGGGAAGCGAGGGAACAGCTGCTCCCGGACACGTGCACGCAAGGCCCCACCCATCATTCCGGACAATGACCCGCCTGGACGGCCGTGCATTCAGACAGGCAGCTCAAAGCCACAGGCGGCGTGCGGGCCTCAGAAAGGCACAGAGGACTCCTCTCCCAGGACCCCAAGTGACCTCCCAGAAGAGAGACCGCCTGTAGAGGCCACGTCCCCACCACACCCGCACAACCTTCACCTCTGAACAGAAGGGCAGGGCTCCGAGGGACACGTGGCCGCCGGGGAGGCTGGTCCCCCTCACCTCGGCCTTCTGGGCTCCAGCAGGGTCAGCAGCACCTGGACCCCGCTCACAATGACAGACTGGCTCTGCTCCCCCTCCAGCATGTTGCTCAGGAGCTGCTCGATCGTCTCCTGCCTGCGGCGGGGGCCGGGATGGGGAGAAGGGTGGGGTCGGGGTATGGGGCACAGCGTGGCGGGCGCGGACAGGGAGGACGCCCCAGACAGCCTCCCGCCCTGGGTCCGGGAACCGCAGACCCACTTCTCCAGGGTGGCCAGCAGCTGGTCGGGCTCCGGGCTGTCCTGCAGCTGGAGCATCTGCTCCCGGCTCAGGCGGATGATGTCGCACAGGGACTGGGACGCGTTGGAATGTTGCTGTGGAGGCAGAAAGAGGACTGAGGACGCCGGCCCGGCTGCCGGGCCCATCGCATCCTGCTTGCGGGGTCCCAAGGGAGCTGGGGGTCGTGCAGACACAGGGACGCGGGTGCCGAGGGACGGGACACAAGGCACCAGACACCGGGAGAGGAGAGATGGCAAGGAACTGGGAAACCCAGGAAGCTTTCTGGAGGATGAACATTCCCACACCCCACACCATGTGCTGTAGGCCGAGGAGGGAACGACCCCGATGTCCGCTGGCGGGTGAGCGGTGAGCAGAGAGGCTACCATGGACACGCCTCAGCCTCAGGAGGGGAGAAAGCACCGGGTGACCGCGGGACATCGGGGCTGAGGCAGAGGCCAGACAGGAACGCCAAGTGTGGTGTAACTGCGCTTACACAGCAAACACAGCAGACGCAAACCCAGAGACAGAGTGCAGCCTGGGGGTGCCGGGGTTCACGAGGGCAATGGATGGTGAGAGCTAAAGGACCCAGGCTTTCCTTCTGGGAGTATGAAAAGATAATCCCAAATCCATGTGAGAGTAACTAGACAATTTCGAGACTGCGCTAAAAGCCGGTGCGCGCTACGTCTGAACAGCCGGCCCGCACGGTATGGGATCTCTACCTCAGCAAAGCTGCTCAGGGAAACACCAAGGGGAAAATGGGAGCAGAACTCCGGGTCTAACCCAACAGGGCAGCCAGCAGGGCCCACCTGCGCAGACCCCACACCCGTCCAGGACACAGGCCGCACTTCAGAGCCCGTCACAGGCGCCCCTGGTCCCCTGCCCCTGGGCCTGCGTGGTCCTCACCTACTGGCCGGAGGCCTGGGCTAAGTTCCCGCACCTGTGGGCCTCTGCTCTGTAAGCCACAGCCGGGGAAGACAAGGCAAGACCCCCAGGGCTGCAGCGAGAGCGTGGGGCCACCGCATGGGTTCGCTGAAGGACGAGCAGGGTGTGCCCAGCCACGGGAGCCTCAAGAAGCGGCCAGGTCCCAGTCAGCAGGGGAGCAGGGAAGGGGACCTGGGAAGGGGTCCCTGGAAGGCTGGCAGCGCGGGGGGCCAGGCTGGAGCCTGGAGTCTGAGACCCCCGCCAGACCCCCATCCTACCAAGAGGCACGGGACCAAGCTTCTGGCTCATAGACACGTTCCTGCCGGCGGCAGGAGCCCTGTCCGGGAGAGACTGGAAGGACGGGCACACGCAGCACCGAACACTTCCCTCCTCTACGAGTTCACCTTCCGGGGAGGGAGGGGCCGAGGGTGGTGTGAAATACAGACACGGGGGAGGAGGCCGGGCCACAGGCGGGACACCTGGCGAGGAGGGGACACTCACATTGTCATCCTTCGACGGGTGGATCTGCTCTATGAGCCGCTGCACAATCTTCTCCTCGTTGAGCCACTGGGGGTGAGAGGGGAGGTGGGCCTCTGTGCGCAGCCCCGCCCGTCCCGCCCCCACTCTCCCCGGCCCCGCCCCCACTCTCCCCGGCCCCGCCCCCACTCTCCCCGGCCCCGCCCACACTCTCCCCGGCCCCGCCCGCCCCGCCCGCCCCGCCCACACTCCCCGCCCCGAGCTCACGTTGACCACGTCCTGCCTCAGCTGGGGCCGCTCCACGCAGGTGAGGAGGCGCAGCAGCAGGTCCATGATGGCCGAAGTGCCGATGTGCTGCAGCAGCAGGCCCACGAAGTCGTCCTTCTTCCGCAGGAAGGACACGAGCTGGGGACGGGAGGCGGGCAGGCGTCACACGGCAGGACCGGGGCCTGTGCCCTCCCGCCTGCCCGCCTCCCCGCCCCCCCGCCCCGGGGCAGCACCTGGTCCGTCTTGCGGTTGATGAGGATGCCCATGACCTTGCTGAAGAAGCTGGCCAGCAGCGGGTTGAGGCTGCCGCTGCTCTGCAGGAAGCCATAGAGCCGGCTCAGCAGGGACTCGTCAGCGCCCAGCGCGTCGTTGATCTGGGGCACGTCCGAGGTCAGGATCTCGCAGGCCACGCTAGGGTACCTGGCAGGAGGAGGGGGTTCACATCCAGAAAGGGAAGCAGGCTGGCCATCCTTGCCCCCCACGGCCTCCTGCCAGAACCCGCACGGGGTCTCCACGGCCCCCGCCCCCACCGACCTTCCCTGAAACCCCACTTCATCCGTCGCCCACCCTTCCCCCCCTCCAGGCCCCACAGCCCCACCGGGAGGCAGCAGGTCCTGGCAGCCCCGGGCCGGATGGGCAGGGGCTCACTTGTAGCGCAGCCGCTCCTCGCCACTGGCCGGTGGCTCCTGGGTGACCCAGGCCACCATGGCCTGCAGGTGCGGCGGCTGCAGCAGGAAGTCCAGCAGCTTGCGGTTGACGACCTTGCACTCCTGTAGCACGTCCTCCTCATCCAGGAGCTCGGGCAGACTCAGGTCCTCCCGCTCCAGCAGCGTGTCCAGGTGTGAGCTCGTGTGCAGGTCAAACTTCCAAAACATGGCGCCCTGAGGGCAGGACTGCCGTCACACTCTGGCCTGGCCTGCCCCACCCCCTCCACCTCAGTCCCCACACCCCGACCACCGGCCACCGTGACAGCCTGCGAGGGGCCCCCTGTAGTCTAGGGGTCACTTCTTAGCGGAAGCCAGCTACCCTGACCACCTCTTGGCCCCCAGACCCCGCAAAGGAGAGCAGTGAGCAGAGCCATCACCATCCTGTCCCCCTCCAGGGCCTGTGTCCTCTGAGCCCCATCTGGGCAGGGACCCCCCCGGGGCAGGGCTGGAGCGGTGCTCATCCTGACATCTCCAGCGTCAGATTCACTTCAATCCATATTTGCTGAACAAATTCAAATGCCCCACGGTGGCCAGCACCCGGCTGCCGTCCAGCCCAGCAGATCATCATGCCCTGTGCAGGGTGTGGGGCGGCGGTAGAGGGAAGTCTAAGATGTCCCCAGGCCGTGGCCGTTGCCTGGATGCCACATATACACACACAAACACACCCCACCCCCCCATCTAGTGGCCGGACAAAAAAGAGGAAAAGTGGGGGAGGGGGCCTTTCAGAACAGCCACTGACTGGGGCCCAAAGGAACCAGCACAGTCAGTGACTCAGTGGGGAGGAGGACAAGGCTGTCCCCCAGCACCTGCAGAATGGCACCCTGCTCCCCAGCCAGCATGGAGGCACTGCGTGCCCGGCCCACCCCAGCACAGGTGACCAGCTGCCCCCTCTGCACACACACTCAGCCGCTCCTCTGAGGAGGCCTACAGGCTCCCAGTCCAGACCACCTGCGAGGCCCGCCCTGCATGTGCCATCAAGCTCCCAGGCCACTTGTTCCCCACCCCCTCCGTCCACCGTGCACAGCACCCATGTGCCCCTGGGAGGGGCTGCCGCCTCCCCACCACGAGGGAAGGTGGGGGCTCGCCAGCACCACACAGGCGTGGACCAGAGCTCACATGCATCACCTGCCTTGTGAAGACCGCATGAGGCAGCGGCCACAGAGGACAGGCGGAGAGGGCCCCTGGGCACCACCTGGACCCACGGACAGCAATCCCTCTCCTAGAGGCCCTCCTCACCCTGTCTGCCCCACACCACCCTGACCGTGGAAAACCCGTCGGCCACGGATGGAACACCAGCGTGGAGCACAGAGCAGCTCTGATGCACGTAGCCGCCGGGACTCAAAGCCAGCGCAGAGCGGGGGGCATGTGTGACCTCGGGCAGGACTGGTTTCCTGAGCCTCCACCACCAGCTCTCCCTTCCAGCCTCCGCAAGAGACGGCTCCCCTCCCTGCATCCTCCCCACCCTCCATGACCAGCAACAACAGCTCTAAGTCTGCTGTGACCCCGGACCCCGGCCCAGGACGACAGCAGGTGGACCGGAGCACTCCCAGTCATGGAGGACAGCAGCAGGCACCAGGCCCTGGTGGGGGCGGTGGGCACATTCCACGAGCCTACGCATCCCGTCCCACAGAGACTCGCCCCTCATCCCTATGCCCTTCACCCCAGGTTGGCCACTTTTCTGAAACACAAACCGAAATGCCTGATGTTCACTCCTGGCCAAAAGCCCAAAAGGGTTCCTCAGGGTTCCTCGAAGTCCAAGAGGGTTCGAGACCCCAGGGCCCCAGCCAGCCTTCCAGGACCCCTTAGGGAACCTCCAGCTCCTGCCGCGCTCACTGTCCCACGCCCGCCGGCGGAGCTGGCCAAGTCTGCACACCTGCCGGACCCCGTGCAGGCCCGTCTCACCGTCTCCCCGTCTCCCCGGGAAGCAGCCCCCAAGCAAGCTCCAGCCCAGCCCCTCCCGTGCCGTCCAGGGGCTGCCGTCTTGGGCGGTGCCTCCCCAGCCCGCGGCTCTCCGGAGGAGGTCCCTGCGTGCCACCACCGCCCCAGCACCATGCTGGACATCCCGGCCTCCTGGCATTACACAACCGTGACGCCAGACACATGATGGACGCATGCCGCGCTGGCTACAGTGTCGGCCCGCTCTCAGGATCGGCCCAGCCCAGCCCACCCCCCCAACGGAAGGCACAGAGGCCCCGCCCCACAGTGTCCTGGGTGCAGAAGCAGAGGTACACAGAGGCACCGGCCACCCAGGCCCCGCCACAAACATTCCCAGAGGAATGGGCAGGGCGCTGGGCCGGGGCTCTGAGCCGCCAGCACCTCCCCGTAGCTCAAGGCCAGCTCCTTCCTGGTCCTCACTAGCCAAGAGACTGCTCTGAACTCAGGGAGGAAGCCGAGGCCCGGGCGCCCACTGTACCAGCCCCCTAGCGCCACTCGGCCGCCAGAAATCCAGGGGCTGCTCTCCAGCTGCGCGAGCCTCCCCCACCGGCCCGGCCCTCTCCGGTCTGCCCGTGCTCTCTGCGCTGTCCACATCCCCCCGGCATCCCGCTGCACAGGCGTCCAGGCAGAGCTGTGCTGGGACCTGACCACGCCCCCGTCTGTGCTCCGATGCCCAGGGCGCCCCTCCGCAGTCCCACGCCTCCGCATCCTGCCCTGCTGCCCTCACCGGCCCTGGACACGGGGGCCTTTCTGGCTGCGGAGCACACCGCGCCTGGGTTTTTCTCAGCAACCTGGCTCTGGCTGCCTCGCCTGCCTGGGACGCCGCAGTCCCGGGCTCCTCCTCCTCCTCGGGGTCTCCTGCCAAGCACATGCCCGCCGTCCTGCGGCCCCAGCTCCATCTACCACCCACACCCAGCCACTTGCACAGCGCACATGCCGCGACCTGACGACGGTCCGCACGGGCACCACCGTCCTCGCTAGGCTGCTGGGAGCGGCAGGACAGCTCCGAGCGCACAACGTCCTATGCAGGTCTCACTCAGAAGTACCAGCAGAGGACACCTGCGGGGGCTCAGATGGTTAAGCTCTGCCTTCGGCTCAGGTCATAATCCCGAGGACCTAGGATCGAGTCCCCCATTGGGCTCCCTGCTCAGCGGGGAGCCTGCTTCTCCCTCTGCCAAACCCCACTTCTCTCATGAATAAATACATAAAACCTTAAAAAAATACCAGTAGAAGAGCACCCCATCTGCACCCCCACATGTTATGAGGCCCCTGCCCCTCGGAGGCAGCAGGCGACACCCCTGCCAGGGCATGACTCCCACCCAGTCACCCCCTAGCCACCCGTAAGCCGCTGTCATGTCGTGCGGGCGGCGGGGGGACGGAGGGAGCAGGTCACGAGGCCGGGGCGGGGGGGGGTGCGGGGATGGAGGGGGCAGGGAGCCCCAGAAGCACAGCCAACAGCATCCCCCCAATCCTGAGGAGCTCGGCGACCTTCCTTTGCACACCAGCAACTCCCTCCTTTTGCCTGGACCCCAGACCTTCCCCAGGAACCCCTCCACAGCTGATGGACGTCCCCCTCATTTGACGACAAGCCGTGACAGACCTCATGCTCCACACACTGGTGGCCGGCACCGGCACAGGTCCTGAGCTGGACCAAGCGGGGACCAGAACCGCCTCCAGGGGTAGCCACCGCCGGGGGCCGCAGGGAGCTCTGCGGGGTGAGCCCTCCACCTCCTCCCACACCCGACACCTTCATGCCCCACGAGGACACCAGAGGCTTCAGAAGGGCCACCTAGGGGCACCTGGGAGGCTCAGTGGGTTAAAGTCTCTGCCTTNCCACCTAGGGGCACCTGGGAGGCTCAGTGGGTTAAAGTCTCTGCCTTCGGCTCAGGTCATGATCTCAGAGTCCTGGGATTGAGCCCCACATCAGCCTCTCTGCTCAGCGGGGAGCCTGCTGCCCCCTCTCTCTCTGCCTGCCTCTCTGCCTGCTTGTGATCTGTCAGTCAAATAAATAAATAAAATCTTTTAAAAAAAAAAGAAAAGGCCACCTACACAGAGTGAACGAAGCAATCACCAAGGACGGCATGTGGTCGGACTCTGTGTGCTGAAGTGTCCGAAGACGCAAATCCCCAGACGGAGCCGCGGGAGCTGGGGGTGAGGAGTGCCTGCTCACAGGTATGGGATTTTCTTCTGGGAAAAGCATGTTTAAAAAAAAAAAGATCTGAAACTGCTCGTACACGATTTTGCCGATTCTACCTCGGTGAAAAAAGCCCAGTACGGTGACGGCTGCACAGTTCAGAATGCACCAGAAACCACCAACTTGTGCGCTCAAACACATGATTCACTCGACGTTCGAATTACATCTCGACAAAACCATGACCAAAAACAAAACCAAAGTTGCCCAAGGCTGCGGTGGCAGGGCTGGGCCCAGACCCTGCTGTGTGTCCCAGTCAGCCCAAGCCGACAAGACAGCAGCTGCCAGAAGGGCTGAGGCACAGCAAGCGCACCCCGGTTCCCCTTCCCCACCCGCCCCGGTGGCCTCCCAGTGTCCCCAAGCTAAGGGTGGGGGGCACCCCGGCCGAGGGTGGGCACAGGGCCCAGCCTAAGCCTCTTGAAACCCGTGCACCCACACGGGCTCCTGGTCTCCGAGACGAGGAGGTAAAGCGTGACCATGATTCCCACGTGACAGCCGTGGAGACAGGGGCCCCTGGGGCGGAGCCACGGCCACTGAGAGGCAGAAGCAGGACTCGCCTGCCTGCTCTCCTGACAACAGCGGAACTTAACACTGAGACCCGCCCACTTTCCAAGCACCTAGTTAGAGGGCCCAGGCCCCCAGGCACCACCCCGAGCCCCCACAGCAGGCCCACTGGGGACAGCAGGCAGGGCCTCCTTCCCCAAGCGGGCCTTCCAGAGAACTGGCTTGGGGCGGGCCACCCACAGTAAGACAGGAAGGTGCTGGGGCGTGGGGCACAGGCTCCAGGGGCCCCAGACCCAGGCTGCCCCTTAAGCTCTCCCTCAGGAGAAGACTGCAAGGCTCAGATGCAAGTGGGCGGTGTAGGGACCCCACGACCATCACTTCGCAGGCTGTGCACAGAGCAGAGAGGCCAATACGTGAGAACTACACGCGCACACGGTCACAAGTGCTGATGGCCAAGCCCTTCGTCCCACTTAGCAGCTCTTGCTGGAAGCCCTGGGAAGAGGGCGGACAGGAGGGGGGGTTCCCATTCTCACGCTCTAATGCGGTGAACCCGGCCCAGGCTCGGCATCCCCATCTGTGCAATGGGGCCACGCTGCGAGGACCGCCGGCTCAGGCAGGTGCCCCTGACTGTGCAGAAGCCTGGACACCCGAGCGGGAGGGCAGGAGCCAGCCACGAACCTGGGGTGACCGCTCGAAACACCGAGGACCCTGAAAAGGGCTCCCTCCGTCGGCCTGAGCCTCGCGGGTCATTCACACTCGCGGGAGGACGCGCACAGCCTNGCCCCCCCCCCCCCCCCCCAGCAACTCGGAGCACGCTTCTAGAAAGCGGAAGTGACAAGCCCGGCGCTCAGTGGCAGTTTGAAAACCACGACTCTGGCCGCCAACGGAAGCAGGGAAGCCGTAAGCGAGAAAGGAAGCCATTAAACAAGAGAACGGCCTCTGCCTCCGCCGCCTGGCACCAACCCCGTGGGTCCCCTGCTCTGCTGGGTCGCTGTTAGGCTCTGACGCCAGCTGCCCCCTCGAGAGCGGCCGGCCCCCGTCTCCGCTCCAGCAGGGCCTGGCCACGGCTCCCAAGGTGCGGGCCCCGTGGCCCTGCTGTGGCCACCGCCACCAATGTGTCTGTCCAGACACGACTCCGCCTGCCGGGGGGCCCACGGGCAGGTCCTTTATCTTCCACCTCTTCCTCGCCTGCCCTGGCCCCAAAGCACCCGGAAGTGGGGGTCAAGGGCACAGAGGCCTCTGGGAGGGCCTCCAGGGTGGCCGCCTGGGCTGCCACGTTCAGCCATCACAGCCCCACAGGCTGTTGTTATGAGGCCCGGGCTACGTGAGCCCTGTGAGGGGGGAGAGCCACCACCAAAAGGCTGGCCCCAGCCCCTCGCGGGGCTCAACAGACCCAAGGACAGTGAGACCACCTCCCTCAAGCCCCCCGGCCGACTGTCAGTTCTCCACCAAGTCTGGAAAGGGGGTAGGGGACTGGGATTCCGAGGACAGGGTACCAGTAATGGCGACCCCATTACCTCTGAGGAGGACCCGTGCGTGTGCTAGACGCAGAACCCAGCACGGACGCAGCAAGGTGGGCGGCAGGACGCCCGTGTGGGACAAAGGGCAGACCTGGCCAGAGCCACGGAGGACGAGGAGCTGGGACTTTCCCATGACTTGGGAAAGCCTGGGAGGGATACCCAGTTAGGGGACAGCCCAGAGCCCAGTGTCCCAGGGGAGGCGGCTGCTCCGGTCCCACCCAGGGAAGGCGCAATCAGGAAACAAACTGCAGACCCCAGGCCAAGGGCCAAGGAGGCGCCTGAGAGCTCACCTTAGGGGACCATCTCCCGGATCAGGTACAGGTCCCAAGGAGGAAAGGGAAAGAAGAGACCCTGAAACCGCGCTTGGGACACCAAGAGAAGCAGCCTCGGTGTTCAGGGTGATCTGCAGTCAGAGCAGCTGAGGGTCCAGCCCTGCCCCTCCAAATGAGGTCCCTGTAGCCCCGGACCGGTCCTACCAGCACCGAGCCTCAGTCTCCTCACCTGGGGGACACCTCACGGGGACGGGCGGACCACACCTCCCACGGGAAGACCTATAAAACAGGGTTCGAAGAGAACCAGAGCTCTGGCCTGGAAAGGAGGGCGTGTCCCCACTCCCCACGTGCCGGGCCTGCCCCAGGGAGCCAGTGCGCCACGGAGGCCAGGAAGGCCTCTCCCTCTCCCCAGAGCTCCGGGGCCTCTCTCACCTCATCTCTGGCGGCCACCTGCATGGCCTCAACTCGCCCGTCACAGCACACTGACTGCTCGCGCTGCCCTGGCTGGCTGCTCCCTCTGCCTCCCCTCCAGCTATTCGAGCCTGCCTAGCTCCTCCTGGGTCCTTCAGGCTTCAGCACAGACACCACTTCCTCCAGGAAGCCTCCCCTGACTGCGCGAGGGGCCTGCTCCACGCTCCCCCAGCTTCCCGTGGTCACCCTAGGACGGCGTCCGCGCGCTGTGACAGGATTCGCCTCTCCTGCCACCTGCCTCCCTCTGCAGAAGGCCAGGCCGGCAGCTAGAAATACTTGTTGAATTAATAAAAAAGTGAAGTCCAGAGGGAAAGCAACCTGCCAAAGTCACTTCCCACGGATCCTGAAAAAAAGGGCTGGTGCTGGGGGTGGGGGGGTTGGGGGCAGGGAACCAGCAGGTTCTCCTCTAATGCAGAGAAACAGCAGGAGACCCGACGGAAAACACGAAGGTCGATCAAAACACACAGCTCAGAACACACAGCCACAGAGAGCTGGGTTCTCCCCCGCAGCACTCCTGACGTGGGGCTGGAAAATGCTGCAGTGGGGGCAGTCCTGGGCTCTGTGCGCCGCCAGCAGCACGCCAGGCCTCTACCCACCGGGACCGGGACTAACCACCGCGCCTCCTGCCATTGCCGAACGTTCCCTGCGGGACACCATCGGCCCTAGGACGGCTGCGACAGACAGAGCCAACCGCGGCAATCACCGTCAGAGCTCCCAATCGGGAGCACGCCCTAGGCCTCGCATTCGGCTACAGGCTCCCCCCCACAGCCCGCCCAGGACCCAGAGCCACCGCAGGAGAAGAGCACCGACGCCAGCACCCGTCTACACCCCACTGAAGTTTCTTTACAACTGCAAACCCCACACCATACCTCACACAGCTTCCCTTCCAGAAACATCTTGCCTTCCGGTGTTCCGTCCCGTCTAGGGCCTCAGCGCCGGCACCGGGGTGTGCAAGAGCGCGCAAGGAAGGACCCTAACCGGAAGGGGTCGTTCAAGGGTCTGGACAAGCAGCGGCTCCGAGGTCCCCGCCTCCCCACGCTCCTGCACCCAGTCCCGGGTCCCCACCTTCAGAGACTTGCACGTGCTGTTCCTTCCGCCCGGAAGGCCCCTCTTCCCACTCTCCATCTGTCAAGCCCTACCGTCCGCCCAGACAGCGAGCGCCGCGCCGGTCTCACCGGCCCCTCCTCGGCTGCCCACGGGCCCTGAGCTACCTCATCACAACACCACTAATTGTGACTGTCCGGCGGGGCCTTTGTGTCCCCTCCCGCCGCCGCCACCGGGCCTCACGGCAAGTCCCCCGCACACGCTCGGCCGGGCAAAGGGCAGGGAGAGCCCCACTGCCCTGCTGGGGCCCGAGCCCGGGCCGGGGAGGCCAAGAGCAGGAAGAGGGTGCTCCCGGGGAGGGGCCGGGGACGAAACGGTGGAGACGTCCCAGAGCGGTGAGGCTGCGTCCGAGCACGGGAAGTCGGACAGGAGGAGAGCCGGGGAGGCGGGCTGCTGCCGGGAGACTAAGGAACGGGGGGCGGGGGGCGGGGAAATGTCCGGCGGACCGAGGGGACCCGCGGCGGCCGCTCACCTGCGCGGGGGGGCGGCGGCTCCTCGCACTCGGGGCTCATCCGGGCGCCCCCCCCGCCCCGCCGCCGGCGGCTCCGGCCCCTGCTGAGGGGCCCGGTATGAGGGGGCGGGGGGCGGCGGCGGGGGCTCGCGCACGCGCCTTCGGGCCTAGGGGGGGCCCCGGTGCTCCAAGCCGCGGGGCTCGGGGGACGGAGGCGGGGGTCCGGGGCTCGCCGGCGGCCGGGGGGCGCGGGGAGGTCAGAGCGGTCGCGAGTACCGCGGAGGCCCTCGGCGGGGAAGTCGCCCCGGCCGGCCCGGCCCGGCGCCGCGCGGGAAAGCAAAGGCCCGAGAGGGAAGACTTTTGCCTCCTCAGTCCGGACAGGCCGCAGGGCTGAGGAGCTGCCGACGGAAGCCGAGGTCCACTTCCCTGGCCGCCCCTTCCCCGAACCCGCTGGGTCTTCAGGCTGTGCAGTCGGCTCGGGGCCTCCGACGCCCGGCTCCGTCCGCCACTATCCCACAATCCCTTAGCGCAGGAGCACGCAGGAAGCCCCGCCCACCCGCCGCAGTCCCGGTGCGCGGGCGCCGCGCGCCCGGGCCCAGGAGTGCGCGTGCGCGCAGAGGCCCGGGCGTTTCCCACCCCCCGCCCCGCCTCCGCCAGCCCTCAGCGCCGACGCGCTTGCGCTGCTTCGGGCCAACAGTGTCTCCCCGAGTAAACCCCGACAACCCAACGCGCAGGCGCCACTGTGCGCCACCGCCCCTGCGCGCTGCCAGCCTTTCTCTGCGACTCCGTTCCAAAGCCCAGAGGAAATCCTGTTCCAGGATTTCTCTTCCCGCTCGCTCCTCCGTCTCGTCCAATTATAGTCCCGCTTTGGCTGCAGGGTCCAGCTCCTGGGTATTCCAGACCGGGTTTTCTCTCCAGCCAAGGCTCCGCGCTCTGGTCCCGCGCGGTTTTTGACGCCTTCCTGGCGGCGCGGACTCGGGTCCCACCTGCACGCCTCTGCCCGGCCATGTCTTACTGTTGCTTCAGTTTCCCCGGCTTCGTGCCCCCTTGCCCACGTTACGGGCCCGCTGTAAGGCTCGGACGACCGAGTGCGCGTACTGACCCACCTTCCGTGTTTTAACCCGCACACTGACTTCTTGTATCAGTGAGACATTTTGTGGAGTCGTGCGGTTGAGGACATCTTCCTGTACTGGTTGCTCTGTTTCAGGGGTGCCGGCTATGCGTTGTCCTTCCCATGTCTTCGCTTCTCTCTCCTCGCTCCCATCATCTTGGTCATTTTCACCTGTCTCTCCCCGGCCTTGCTATTTCCAGTGTATTTGTGGCACGGGACGGTTTTTGGTCCTTGTGTCAGCTGCCCGCGGCTGTGCGACAGTCACCACCTGGGCAGCCTGCGCCGGGCTCGCGGCTTCGAGCTACCTTTGTGAAGGGTGGCAAGGCTGGCTCTGCTCCCGTGTCTAGGATACCGAGTCCATAAGGAAAGGCAGAAACACCGCAGGGCATCACCACCATCCGTCGGTGAAAGCACATCACACTCGATCATGCCCAACGCCATGGGGCAGCATTTGCACCCCACGGGTGAGAGAGTCTCCTGCTCTCAGGAGGTTGGAATGGGAGGAAGCAAATATTCCCTGAGCAAGCCACCACAGTCCTGTTTCCTTCGTTTTGCCAATCTTACCTTTTCATCTCCGAGGTTTTAACATGGACCCAGGTTCCTACTTGTGATTCAACTTGAAGCTGTTGTGGGGCATGTCCTTTTGTTCCTTGAGTCCTCTTTTCCTCTGTCACGTTCTTCCGTCTTACTCAGCATTTTGCTTGCTTTCCTCCCCATTATGATCGCACAGCTGCCATATTATTTTAACACATAAGCTCAGGAACTGAGGGGCAGGGGGTGGCCATATTCAACCACCAAACGAGACCCGGGACACTGTCTGGAAGAAGTTGGAAGCTGCAGGAGCTTTAAGGACTGAAACCTGTCTCCCTCCTATCAGGACTCACAGGTTAATCACAGCATTCTGCGGGTTGGAATGGGAAGGGGAGGAGCCCCTACCTGGCTCAGTCAGTCAACGGTGGTACTCTTGGTTTCAGCTCAGGTCATGATCTCAGGGGTGTGGGATCCAGCCCCACGCGGAGCTCTGTGCTCAGCGGGGAGCCTGCTTGAGAGTCTCCCCCATCTCCTTCTGCCCTGCCCCCGCTTGCGTGTGCACACACTCTCTCTCAAATAAATAAATCTTAAAAAAAAAAAAAAATTGGAAGGGGCTTCTTAAACCGCCTGGTGGAAACACCCATTCCCCATCGTTCACACCTCCACATGAAGGAACTTGAACCCCTTAGTGCCTTTCTCCTGGCCACTCCACCCCTCCCAGGGGCTGATGAACAATTCGCCAGACTGGGTGGGCATCGTGGCTCACTGCAGGTCTCCCTCTCTGAGCCGGCCTGCCCAGTGTCTGGCCTGCTAACACCCAAGGGAAGGCCTGTGCTTGTCCAGTGCTGCCTGTGACCCGACAATCTGCCATGTCTAATGCTGGGCATCAGCATTGGAAGCAACACTAAAGCCACCTCCTCTGATTGGCACTAATAGTAATAAAAGTGACACTGAATCTCCATTTCTGGAATCCTGTAGCTGCCTTTCGATTTATCCTGAATTGGGGAAGGAAGGTGAAAATCACCGGTCCTCCCAAATCCCAGAACAGGTAAATTCCACATGAGAGGAATGAGCTAGGAAGCCAGAATACGGGAGGGGGGCACAGCTTTGTCTGAAACCTGGCGTTGTGAACTTCTGCCCATGGTTCAATCACCCTGGACTTGGATTCCTCACCTGAGAAACGGCACTGGCCGGGAGCCTCGGTTGCAAATGATGCAACCTCCTTCAGGTAAACTGACACGCAGTTTAGGAAAGGAGATGGGGCCCCGTCTCACCGCCCCTATCTCTGAGAAAGCTGGAGAGGGCTAGATGCTTCGTAGTCGGAACAAGGCCCATGGCCAAGCCCTGGGCACACAGAGCCCTGGGTGCACCTGCTACAGCCTTCTCCCAGCATCAGCACCACAGAGGCCCTGCAGGGCACTCTAACAGGCTGAGCTGATGTCACATGACACACCTCTGCACGGGGTGCTGGGCAATAACCTGGCTTCGGCCTCAGGGCAGGCAGCCTGGGCACCAAGGGCAAGGGGGTTCTTCAAATGGAGCAGCCGGAGACAAGCCAATGAGAAGCGCAGGTGTCCACTCCCTGTCAAGAGAGGCTGCGATGAGAGGCGAAGGCTCTGGGTTGTAGAGAGCAGCACATTCATGTCCAGGCTCCACCTACTGCCGGGGTCCCCTAAGAGCATGCCCCTCCCACCCAGTCCCCCTCCAGGGGAGCAGATCGAGGCCATGGTGAACAAGCTGGAGGAGGAGAAACACCTTTATTAGAAGAACAGTGTGGACACAGAAGGGAGAACACAGGGAGGGCCGGGATCCAGGGAGCCGGCACCTTCCCCCGCGCCCCTTCCAAAGGCTGAGCAGAGACGGGCTGGCACGCCCTGGCCGCGCACCCACAGGGCCCTGCTCCCCCGGGGAGGCAGGACGCCTGAGCTTCCCACGGAGAGGGGTGATAAGCCGCTGGGCTCACCGATCCATGCTGTCATCCGTTGGGCTGGAGAAACAGGTCTGCAGCAGCTTTTCACAGAACTCCAGCTCCTCCTAGATTGGGGGGACAAGAGTGGGAGTCCTGAGTGCACGGCGGGCCCCTGGCTCCAGCATGCTCTGCGCCTGGAGACAGCTTCTCTTCCCTCCCCACTGCGTGCCCCAGAAGCCTCCCAGCGTCCTCTGACTTCAGCTGAGATCCACGACTCACTGTTTCTCTTCGCACCTATGCCTGGATTACTGAGCCAGAATGGGGGGGGTCGCCCAAGGCCGTCTCACCCCACTGGTCTGTCCTCATCTCAGGCCCCTTGGGCTCCTTCTAACAACTGGGTATGACCAACCCCTACTAGTCCCCACTCAAAATTAAAACCCCTTCCACAGGTACAGACCCCAGAAACCAAGAAAGAAGCACTCATAAGTGGCACCGCGCGAACATAAAAGGTATCTGCATGGCAAAAAGATGCCAGAAACAAAAAAACAAAGAAAAACAACAATGTGGGGTGAAAAATCTGCAACTCATCCGGAAGGGCTAACGTATGTTATAGTTTAAGAACTTTAACAAACCCACTGCAACAGCCACCACCCAGTAGACAAATGGGCACAGGATATGCATGAACGGTTCACAGAAAGGGAAAACCGTCCAACTTCACTCACAGGAGAAACGCCAGTGTAAACCGGACTACACTGCTACTTTTCACCGATCAGCTTGAAAAAACAGGTCAAATGGCCTGAGGTACACTTGGGCACTCTCACGGCTGGACTAACAACTGGTCCAACTTTTATACAGAGCAACTCGGCAAAACATAGCAAAAACGGCCCTTAACTCTGTAACTTCACCCTTCCTCTGCCCTCACACAGCTGTCCCTTTCCGGCAGCTGCTCCACAGACACACTCACCGCATAAACATAGGTAAAGGGTTATTCTTCTAGCCAGGGTGCTGGCAGCAACCAGCGTGTCCAGTAAGAGGGGTCATGACACGAAAGCAGCAACCTACCTCGCAGCCCCAAAACAAACAAGGAAAAGCCACACACAACACACTCCTCTGCACTCCTCCCTGAGATGCTGTGAAAGGGGATGAGGCAAGGAGCAGAAAAGTGATCGGGACAGGCAGATTTTGCACAAAAGGGAGAGAAAAAAAAGAAGAATTTATACACACATTTACTTGTGTCCCCAGACTGTCTTAGGAAGGTCACACATGGAACTGGGGGAGCTACTGGGTGGTTAGGGACGCAGGCAACAGGGAGACTTTCCACTGTTCACCCTCCCGTGCAACTTGAATTTTGAACCATGTGACCACAGGACCTTCTCACAAGAAAGGACTCATGAAATTTAACTCTTAGGTTTACCTACAAAAATACAAAAGAGGGCCGTCTAACTCATGATAGAATGACCTCTCAGAACACCACGCCACTTGCATTATTCAACGGTGCTAAAATTAAAGCAGACCTTGGGGCACCTGAGTGGCCCAGTGGGTTAAGTGTCTGCCTTCAGCCTTCAGCTCACGTCACGATCCTATGGTCCCAGGATCAAGCCCTGTGTCACTTACCCTCTTCCTCTGTCCTTCCCCCCGCTCGTGCTGTCTTTCTAATGAATAAATAAAATCTTAAAAAAAAAGAAAGAAAGAAAAAAGTTAAAGCAGACCTCTATTTAAGTATCTGGAAAGAGTTCCAAGACACAGACACATGGGAAAGAAGCCATGTGGAGAGACTGGCATGGCGTATGGGATGGGCCAAGGAATGCCAACAGCTACCAGCAGCTGGAAGAAGAAGGATTCTCTCCCGGAGCCTTCAGAGGGGGCACAGCCCTGCTGACACCTGGACATCAGGCTCCTATCCCCAGAACCGTAAGACAACGTGTTTCTGCTAAAACGCGCTAAACCGCCCGGTCTGCTGTAGTGTGAGAGCAGCTGTCGGGAGCGAACGCAGCACCGCACGGAAAACAGCACTGCCCGGCCTCCTTGCTCCCTCACAGGCTGTTTCCTTCACTGCAGGCCTAACTTCCTGCCGTCACCCTGTCCAGAACAGAATGTTAAATTACACAGATACCCATGCCGCGTGAGCCATACGTGCTCGTACACACACACACCAGGTGTGTCTTTGTAAATAACTACTCCAGTGTGTTTGCCTATATGTTTCTCCCCCCGCCCCGGGCCCCGTGAGGACCAAGACTGGATCCCGCGGCTCCTCTCCAAGTCCCTGGTATCCAGCTCGGGGCCTGGCGCCCACATGCGCCGCCCCTGACCAACGGAGGGATGAGGATGAGGTTCCCACGGTGTGTCCACGTGTCTAAACTGCTCGCGTGACAGACTTCCCATAAGTGGAGCTCATTATATGGCAACTACACCCCAACAAAGTTGCAAAAGATTTTTTTGGAAGGAAAAAAGGAAAGAAAAAAGGAGTGTTGGTCAGTTTGCATGAGCCTCCCTCACCAGGCGGGCCCTGCCCGGGGCCTGGCGTGCCAGCAGCTCCGGGAACGGGCGCGCCAAGACAGCGAGCAGCAGCTGACACGCTCCCCAGCGAACACCCCGGCCCCGGCCGGGTTGGGGCCCCAAGGACCGCACAATCCCCGCGCGTGTATTTCCACAAGTCCGGGTGTTGGAGTCAGGCCAGGCTCCTGGGGGTGAGCAGCCGCCTCTCCTGGTCGTCCCTGCTCCTCGCTGCCCACAGCTTCCTGCAAACAGTCAACAGTGTCACGGAGGGACGCACTGGGCAGCGCGGACGTCCCAGGACAGGCCATTGGCTCAGCCCAGCGTCTGGGCGGAACTTCGCCTCCATCATCTGGACGACTCAACAAGTCCATGGTAGTTCAACCATTCGCGTCTCTCACGGACTCGGGATTGACCGTCCAATTATCCGAGGGATCGCTCGTTTGCTACTCATCTGCCTAAACATCTACCGCAGTATTTGTCACTTATTACTCATTTAATTAAACATCGGGGGGCTCAGTGGGTTAAGCCTCTGCCTTCGGCTCAGGTCATGATCTCAGGATCCTGGGATCGAGCCCCACATCCGGCTCTCTGCTCAGCAGGGAGCCTGCTTTCCCCCTTTCTCTGCCTGCCTCTCTGCCTACTTGTGATCTCTGTCAAATAAATAAAATCTTTTAAAAAAAGAAATAAATAAAAATAAAAAAATATCTGAATTTTTTGTTCCTCAATACACTTTAATACTTCCTATTTAACTAAATAACAGGTTTTCTTTAATCGTTGATTTGTTTATCAAGTAATTATTAAATATCCGATGGGATGTAAATACTTAGAAAATTTGGATAATAGGGCGCCTGGGTGGCTCAGTGGATTAAGCCTCTGCCTTCGGCTCAGGTCATGATCTCAGGGTCCTGGGATGGAGCCCCACATCGGGCTCTCTGCTCAGCGGGGAGCCTGCTTCCCTCTCACTCTCTGTCTGCCTCTCTGCCTACTTGTGATCTCTGTCAAATAAATAAATAAAATCTTAAAAAAAAAATTGGATAATAAACAAATGACTCAGTTAACCCCTTCAAACACTCCAAGCTCCTCATCCTCCCGCGGGCCCGCGGCCCGGGCAGGGGCAGCAAGGACCTGCTGAGCAGACAGCGGGAGAAACACGTGAGTGAAGGGACAGGACACAGGCGCACGGCGCACAGCGTGATGCCCGAGGCCCCGCGTACCTGGTACTCCTCGTGCTGCTGCAGCAGCTGGCAGCGGTGACGGAGAAGCTCCTCCAGGCCCAGCTCGGGCTCCCGGCACTCCCGCACGCCCTGGGGGAAGTCTGTCACCAGGCTGCGGGGACAGGAGAGCCATCCTTGGGCCTCCCTCTGCACAGGGCCGCCCCTCCCCCAGGAGCCGGGGCGAGACGGTTCCCTGCACTGGGCCTCAGTTTCCCTATCTGCAGTACAGACCTCACGCTGTCCCCAGCCCACCCCAGGACCTACGGGGAGACTTGTACTAAGACGCCCGGCACACAGCCTGGCCTGCAGCCGCTCCACACGCGGGAGCTGCCACCTGCTCCAACCGCTGCTCTGTTCTGTCATCTTTTCCAGACGCTAATCTGCAGGTCCCGTGAGCAGCGGGGGCGGGGGGAGTGGGGTCAGAGAGACTCCGCCTCTGCCCAGGCTGCCGGGTCAGCCCCCCACATGTGAGGAGAAAGGAATGCTCCGGGAGGGCCAGCACAATGATTCCTGCCCCCTCCGTGGAAAAGCCCCCAAGTCCTGAATCCCAGAGGGGAGGAGGCTGCGGGGCTGGAGCCCAGTGGTGTCAGCGGAGAGGTGGGGGCGCCGGCCCCAGGCCTCGCCCCCTCGGAGGCCCCAGCATACCTGCACAGGGCTCCAAGCACATGCTCATGGAAGGGGCTGTGTTCTGTCCGGATCAGGGCCACCAGCTGCTGTACCATCCCCATGGAGCACAGGGTCCCTGGGGGAAGGGTCTTGGGGGTCAGAGGGGCAGTCCACACCCCTCCCCCAGGCATTCCCCTCCCCCTGCCCTCCCTTAGGGATCGTCCCTGGGCTCCCTCCCCTGGCCGCCCCACCTTTGTGTTCGGGGTGGCCCACCAGCAGGTTCTGCAGCAGGAACGCCGACTTGACCTTGAGCTTTTGCACCTGCTGCTGCATGGCCCGCATCAAGACCGAGAAGCCATCCAGGCGAAGGAACTGCAGCAGCCCAGCCTCCTGCTCCCGGACCAAGCCTGGGTTGGGGGAGGGGAGGTGAGAGAGAGGGAGGGGCAGGTTACCATCAGCACCCACAGCAGAACCACCCTCGCCCCCCTCACCACCCTAACTTCAACCAGCCTGAGCTTCATAAGCATTAACTTCTCCGTGGCTTTTGTTGAGACGTAATTAATGTCAGCTATTACAAGAAAAGTCTGCCCCATCCCTCCCGCATCCCGCTCTGGCTCTTGGTACCTCTGGGCAACTGAGTCCTCTGTCTATCCTTTGTGGCTGAGCCACCAGAGGTCTGTCTGTCCATCTGTCTCCTGACTTTTGGACATGACTTTCCAGATACCACCGCTCTGGGCCTCTTTCTCTCGCTCTTGCCAAAATTCCTTTCCAGCCTCTCTGTTCTTTTTCCAGGGCCACCATGACATGACAAATATATATTTGGTCTTTGCCTGCATTCCTGAGACCAAGCTCTTAAAACCCATAGAATTTCCCGGTTGATGGGAGCATCTTTCATTCCAGGGAGGGACTGTGGGCGGACTCCTGGATGGGGTTTACTTACCAGAAACGCCAAAGCCAGGATTAGAAACCTGGAACTTCCAGCCCCACTTCCCAACCCCCAGAGGAGAGGGACGGGAGCGGAATCCATGATCCATCACACCTCCACGAGGAAGCCCCCACTGAAATGGCTAAATGGCGAGGTTCAGAGAGCTTCTGGGTTAGTGAACACGTGTGTGTGCCCTGACTCCAGGGACAGAAGCTCCTGTGCTCGGGACCCTGCTAGACCTCGTCGTCCTATGCCCATCTTCATCTGGCTGTTCATCCGTAGCCTTTGTAATAAGCCACCGAACACAGGTACTTCCCTGAGCTCTGTGAGCTGTTCTAGCAAATTATCGAACCTGAGGAGGGGGGTCATGGGAACACCCAGTATATGCCCAGTAACTAAGAAGTACACGAAGCCCAAACTTTTTTTTTTTTTTTTTTAAAGTTAAACCACACCCAACATGAGGCTTGAACTCATGACCCCGAGATCAAGGGTTGCATGGTCTAGGGACCCGGCCAGCCAGGGGCCATCTCATGCAACTGAGCCCTTAACCTGAGATGTGCCAACCCCCGGGAGTTGGTGTCAGAACGGATCAGAAAGGGACCGCAGAACACCCAGCTGCTGTCCAGAGAGTTGAAAACTGGTCATCTGTAAGCGCCCCCCCCACATTCGGTGTCACAAACATTGGGAGAGTGGGGCGCCTGGGCGGCTCAGTCGTTAAGTGTCTGCCTTCGGCTCAGGTCGTGATCCCGGGGTCCTGGGATTGAGCCCTATATCGGGCTCCCTGCTCCGCGGGAGCCTGCTTCTCCCTCTCCCCCTCCCCCTGCTTGTGTTCCCTCTCTCTGTCAAATAAATAAAACCTTTAAAAACAACAACAACAAAAACAAACACTGGAAGTGGAAGAAATGGGTTCTCCTCCAACATCAAACAGAGAACCACGGGGTTGGCATGGGACCCAGCAATTCCAACCCCAGGCGTGCCCACCCAGGAGAAAGGAAAACACGTCCACGATGAACCTTGTCCAGTGTTTCAAGGCAGCGCTGCCACCCGGCCAGAGACAGAAACCGCCTGACACCGCCCCTGAGCAACTGATGCGCGGATAAACAAGACACAGCCCCTTTGGAAACGACCTATTATTTAGCCATAAAAAGGCATGAGGCACCGGTATAGGCTAATGAACCCGAAAACACGAGCTCGGTGAAAGAAGCCAGACACAAAAGGCCACGTGGTGGACACGTCCAGAGCAGGCAACTCCACGGAGACGAGAAGCAGACTGGGGGCTGCCAGGGGCTGGAGGGAGGGCATGAGGAGGGGCTACTAATGGGAATGCGGCTCTTTTGGGAGGGATGGGAATGTCCTGGGGTTGGACAGTGATCACAACCGACAGAACACGCTGAACTGTATACTTTCAAAGGATGAGCTGCATAACCTGTGAATTCTATCCCCGTAGAGCTGATTTAAGACGGAAACAGTCCGGGGCGCCTGGGTGGCTCAGTTGTGAAGCCTCTGCCTTCGGCTCAGGTCATGATCCCAGGGTACCGGGATCGAGCCCCGCATTGGGCTCCCCACTCAGCAGGAAACCTGCCTCTCCCTCTCCCACTCCCCCTGCTTATATTCTCTCTCTCGCTGTGTCTCTCTCTGCCAAATAAATAAATAAAAATCTTTAAAAAAAAAAAAAAAGGAAACAGTCCAGTGGGGCCCCCAGCACAGCACACACACAGACGGAGGCCCAGCTCACGGTGAATCACGGAGAAGAACGCAGCCTGGGTTCACGCCTCACATCTGTAGGACTCCGCGGGGTGCCCCGGGCTGTCCCCTAGGTGACCTGACCGGGTGGCTCCACCACGTGGGTCTGGCCTCCCTACCTCAGAGGCTGTGTGCATGGACTACACAAGGTAACATGTGCACAGGGCTTGGCGTGGGGCCGGGCACGGAGGGCCCCACAGGCGCTGGCTTCGTCCCGTAGCGGCACCTGCTCCCCAGGAGACGGCAGGAGTGAGAGCCGCCGCTCTCTCTAACGGGTGCAGGCCGGCTGTTGCTCAACACCCCACGGCGTGCAGGCCGCGCCACTCCTCACCACAGGGAGCATCAACAGCGCAGAGGCCACAGACCCTGATGTGCGGGAAGCACCTGAGCTGAGTGGCGCTCCCATGTCCTCGGAATCTGACTCTCTGCCCGGTGAGGGGTTGACGGGCTCTCCACCCCGTCCCCAACGCCCAGCACAGTCTTCACTGGCGACGGGAACATATGAGCCGGTATGGCCTGTCCCCCTCGGCCCCCCCAGCTGCCCAGACACTCACAGGAGATGGCGAAGAGGGCCTTCACGCGCACCAGGTCGCAGGCGTCCCGGTCAAGCAGCCGCAGCAGCTTGCGCAGGGCGCCCAGGCCCAGCACCTGCTCCTGGATGGCCGCCACGTTCTGACTGCACGTGCCGATGAGCTGCGCCGCCCGCCACCGCAGCCCCGCGGGCCCCGCCTCCAGGTACCGGCCCACCAGCAGATGCATGCCCGACAGCTGGCAGAAGTCTGTGCCAGGGAGAGGGGCCGTGAGAGTCCAGTTGGGATGGGCTGAGCTCTGCACCCCCCCAAAACTCGCCTGCTGAAGGCCCAGCCCCCAAGTGCTTCAGGATGCGACTGTAATTGGAGACCAGGCCCTTTAAGAGATCATCCCGGTCAAGTGAGGTCCCCGGGGTGGGTGCCGATCCTGGTAAGACTGGTGTCCTTCTAAGAGGACATGAGAACACAGACGGGCACACGGGGAAGACCACGTGAGGACACACGGAGACCGCGCTGCCTGCAAAGCAAGGGGAGAGCGCCCAGGAGAGACCAGCCCCGGCCACACCAGGATCTCAGACTTCCAGCCTCCAGAACCCTGAGAAAATACGCTTCTGTTTCAGCCCCCGCGGCTACGGCAGCCCTCACACACGAATACAGCAGGGCAGGCTGGCTCCGGGGGGGGGGGGGTCTGCCTCAAGTGCGGGCCCCGTCAAGCGCCCAACTGGGGGTCCCTCCAGGGCCAGCGTGTCTCCTATCACCAGCACATGGAAGGTTAGGGTCCTGGACTCCAGCCCACTGGATGCCAGTGCTGCCCCCCAGTCCTTGTGACAATCACAACCTCCCCTAGACCAGGCCTCGGCAAACTACGGCCCACCACCTGTTTTTGTGTTAGAAAGAATAAAAAGAAGTGGTACCAGTGAGCTTGGCAGCTCCTCAAAAAGTTAGATGCAAAGTTATCACAGGTCCACTGTGACGTAAATACCCCAAATCCCGGCGAGCAGGAACCAAAGCTCCCAGCAGCGCTATTCTCTATAACCACAGTGGAAAGGACCAAGTGCCCGTCAGCGGAGAACAGGCGAGCATGCGGGGTATTAGCCACACGAAGGAGTAAGGCTCCCAGACAGGCCACAAGGCGGAGAATCTTGAAAACGCCACACTCAGGGAAGCCAGCCCCAAGAGCTCAGAGTCTACGATTCCACTTAGAGAAACATCCAGAGAACCAGGAACACCCATCTACAACCTCGATGCCTACCGCACGCCCCTCCAAAGGGCTCCTCAGCATTTAGAACAAAACCCACGGAGCCTCCGTCAGCCTGCAAGGCTCCACCCAGTGGCACCCTCTACCTCCAGCCCTCACTCCCTGTACTCTGCCGCGCTGGCCTTGCTGCTGTTCCCGCACACTCCAGGCAGGTTCCCACCTCAGGGCCTTTGCACTGGCCATTCCCTGTGCCTGGAATGCCTTTTCCAGAGCTCATCTCCTAACCTACTCAACCACAGCCCCGCGGTTCTCGGATCGCTCTGGTCTTCAGGTCTCTGATCAGTTGGCACCCCCTGGGGAGGCCTTCTCTGACCACGCCACCCAGAACCACCTCCTCGCTCATGTTCTAGGCAGTGACGGTGCACTCTCAAGAGATGCGGGAGAAATGAGCAGTTTTGGAGAACATCAGGGAGGTAGACCTGCTGTCAGGCCGGTGGGGTGAGAGGAGGTCACTCCTGAGGGGACCAAGCAGGAAGACCAAGCAGGAAGACAGGAGAGTCTCTTCTAGAGCCTGAATTGGAGCCAGCCTAGAGAGGGAGAGGCTGGAGGCTGGAAGGGTGGGGAAGAGGTCAGTGGTGTGGTGTGGTCCCTGAGAGAAAGGACAAGAGCGAAGCCCCAGCAGGAGGTGGGGCTGAGGAGGAGGGAAGAGACAGAGGGAGACAAGGGGCAGCCCCGGGCAGGCCTGGCTGTACCTGCAGCGTTGTCCATGTTTTCACACAGGTCGGCCAGCAGCTCCAGGGCCCCCTCGCGTTCCTGCTGGTCGGAGGCCAGCTCAGCCTCAGCAGCCAAGGAGGGTGTAGGTTGGGACAGCACTCGAAGGCAGCTCTTCATCTGCTCGACTTCCTCCCGCTGGCCCCGGAAGGCGGCTGACATAGCCTCCTGCAGCCACTGACGCCTCTGGCGTACAAGCCAGGGCAGGAGGGTCAGGGCAAGAAGCAAACGTCCATCAGTGACGAATTCTTGAATAACGCTTGCTCCGTTTAAGAGCCAACATCTGAGAGCTCCCTGTTCCTTCAGTCAACGGATGCCTACTGAGGCCTTTCCCAAGACAATTTCCTAGGTACTAGACTTACGGGGCGACTGGCTACGGGGTGTGAGAGAAGGGACTCCCAGGCCTGTCCAGTGCAACCAGAAGGGGATGGGGAAAACGGTACGAGAAGGTATGGAGCAACAGGAGCAGAGATTACAGCTCATTTTCCACCGTGTTAAGTTCGAGGATCTATGACGCACCCAAGGTGAAACACTGCGTAGGCCGCCTGACGCTCAGGGAGGAGATGCAGCCTAGACCCGGCTTTCTCAGCCCTGGCTCTATGGACACTCTGAGCTGGGGAGCTTGTGGGTGGGCGGGGGAGGGGACATGGAGAGATGCCAGTGTCCTGAGCATGGTAAGATGTTGAGTAGCACCCCTGGTCTCTACCCACCAGACGCCAGTAGCCCCCCCACCGACCCCAGTGGGACGACACGTCTCCATGTGTTCCACTTATCCCCAGGGGAATCAAATCAGAACTACTGGCCTAGCGATATAAACTTGAGAGTCATCAGCATAAAATCTCAACGCGATATGAGATCACAAAGGAAGTGGGCAGAGGTAGGGAAGAGAAGAGCCCTGGTGTGTGCCATCACCCAGCGGCTGGGGAATGGGGAACGGCCAGTGAGTGAGGATGAAAAGCAGGACACTGTGTTGTTCTAGAAACCAAATGAAGAAAGAGATTTGAGGAGGTCAGTAACGAAACGCTGCCTATTAAGTCAAGTAAGAGGACAGCTGAGAGCTGGCCACTGAATTTTCTTTTTCCACTGGGCCTAACAGTGCTCAAATGTGGGCTCTGTAATCAAAGTCCTGGAACAGTTTAGGCAAGATGTTAATCTTTCTGTGCCTGTTCCTACTTCATTGTCCTAAAGGTGACATCATGGAAGTTACTGGGTGACCACGATGTTTTATACACTGGAAACACCACCGTCAACTGAACATCCCATAAGACAGACATTGCTACTCATCTCCAAGACAGCCCTCTGAGTGTTTCTGTCATCCCCACTTCACAGACGAGAAAAACTGAGGCCCAGAAAGGTTGTGACCTGCCAAGGTCACACAGTCGGCCATGCACAAAGCCTGAAGTCACACCTAAGTCTTCACGACAGCCTGCTGCCTGCAGGAGCCCTGCCTCTGCACCAGCACCATGTGGCCCCTCAGAAACACCCCCATGAGGCACCCCGGCTACTCTCATTATCGTCAGCTTGCACATAAAGACCCTGCTCAGAGGTGACCGGGTGGCTCAGTCGGTTAAACATCCGCTTTGGCTCAGGTCATGATCCCGGATCCTTGGATGGAGCCCCACCTTGGGCTCCCTGCTCAGTGGGGAGCCTGCTTCTCCCTCTCTTTCTGCCTTTCAACACCGCTTGTGCACGCTCTATCTCTAATAAATAGAATCTTGAATTTAAAAAAAAAACCTTGCTGGTCAGAAAGATGAAGCGATATGCCCAAGGTCACACAGCTGGATACTGCTGAAACCAGGTCGGCCTGGCTCCCAGAACCCTCCCTCCTTTTCACCTCGAGGCTACTCCGCATCCCCGCGCGGAGCTGGGATGCGGGCATCTGCCCTCGCAGACACTTAGAAGCTCTGACCTGCAGTGGACAATAACCCATCTAGCACCAGTACAGCCTACTACTCCGCCTTCACCCCTGGACTCCGCCCCTGCCCGGGCCACCCCTCCCCCGACTTCGCTGGGTCCCCACCTTTACCTCCTCACTCATGGGTTCTGGAGGGGGGTCTGGCTCCTCAGAGCCCGCCGTGATAGCCATCTGCAGCAGGCCTTGGAGGTTTCGCGGGGGCGGAGGATGGCCCGAGTTCCCCGCCGAGGAGCCGCCGCCCCCCGATGAGCAGCCCTGGGAGGCTGAGGGCAGCGCCAGGGGGAGGCGGCTGCCCCCCGAGCCTTGGTCCGCCATGGACGGTTTGTGAAGGGAAGAATGTGTTTGGGGTAGGGGGTGGTCACCGTTGAGGTAGCTCTGGCGTCCTGACGGGTCGACTCCTGGGGGTCTGCTGAGAAGGTGACGTTTCAGGGGAGTTCCGAGCCCCCCCATGACCCCAAACCTGAGACCCCTCTGCTTCCTCCATACCAACGGGACCCTTCCCCAAAGTCCCAAGCCCCTCCTTTCCCCGCTCGCAGCAGGCCCCACCCACTCCACCGAGCAACCCCCTCCCCCATCTCCAATAAATGCGTTCCGTCTCTTAGCAACCCCTCCGCCCTACCTCCATAGCAACAAGTCCTCCCTTTGGACGTCTTAGCAACAAATCTCCTCCTACCTCTCCAAAGAGGGGAGCCAAAGCGGGGCGGACCTCACTTCCCTGAGCCTCACCTTCCCCGGGCCTCGAGTCGCCGCGGCGCCTAAAGACACAGTCGCCCGCACCTGACTGTGGTGGGCGCCGCCATCTTAACCGGAAATACGCCAGTCTCGCCCGGAAGTTCCTGGAGCACCCTCCCAACCTGGGGCTGACCTGAGGCCGAGGCGGCGTGCCAGACTCTGAAGCCCTAACCTGGCCGGAAACAGCGCTCGGCTCCGCCCCCCGCCCTCGCTCAGCCTGAGCTCCGCCCTCGCTCAGCCTGAGCTCCGCCCCCGATCCGGATCCCGCTCTTTAATGAGCTCCGCCCCTTCGACCTCCAAGCAAGCTCCACCTCTGCCTCGGCGTACGCCCCGCCCCCGAAGTCTAGCTCCGCCTCGATGGCCCCGCCCACACCTATGTCCCCGCCCCTCCCTGCTACCTCGGTCTCCGCCCCTGTTCTAGGCCTTTCGGCCTCTCCCAACTGAACCCCGCCTCTCCCCTAAGCCCCGCCCCGTGCTGGTGAGCGGGCCGCTCCCCGTTAGGCCCCACCCCCTCCTTGCAGGTCGTGCAGGTCCCTCACCTTGAAGGCCAAAGCTGAAGCAAAACCCCCGGGCGCGGTGCTTTGCGAGGCTTACCCACTCTGTGCGCGGCCTTTGGGGTTCAAGTCTGGGAATGCGCCTGGGCTGTAGAGGTGTTCGCCTTGAGCTGGGCTTAAAGAACCCCCGGTGCTGGTCTTCATCAGAGACCCCGCCGCGCCTGGAGAAGGCTGTGCTCACCCTCAGGTGGCGCCCACCGCTAGGCCTGGGGTGGGCCAGGTTATATTTGGGGCAGAAATAGGAAGGCAACATAGAAGCCGTGTGCACTGTGGGGGTATTTGTAGCACTGACCACAATAGCCCTCAGACGGGGGTCCGGGCTCCCACCCCCACCCCCAGTGCCCTATTGTATTAGTTTTCTATTGGTGCCTTTAAATTATGAGAAACTGGGGGGCTTAAAACAACACTGATATATTATCTTGCAGTTCTGGTGGTCAGAAGTCTAAAACTTTTTCCTGGGTTAGACGCAAGGTGTGAGCCTGGCTGTGTTCCTTCCTGAAGTTCTGGGAGAGACTCTGCTGCTGGCCTCTTCTGGCTCCTAGAGGCCACCTGCGCTCCTTGGATTGTGGCTGCATCCTTCCGGCTTCTGCTCCCGTCATTATCCCATCTCCTCCTCTGACTCTCCTACCTCCCCCTCTGAAGGGCCCTTGTGTTTACATTAGGACCCCCAGATAGCCAGGACCCTAGTCCCATCTTAAGATCTTCAATTCAGTCATGTCTGCGAAGCCCCTTTTGTCACGGGTTGATAATATGCGCCGGTTCTGGGGATTAGGATGTGGGCATCTGTGGGGACTGTCATTCGGGATTTTACAAGTTCATTTGGGCTATTTACTGCGTGCTACCATGCATAATACCATATAACATATGTGTCCATCGTATGTAATCATGTGTAACATTGTGTACATTAATATATGTATAACATAATGGTGGCCCACACGAAAACTCTCCAGGTAGCTATAGAATCCATAGTCCCTACAATGACCTTCTAAGTAGGGTGAGCATACAGTTTTCCAGGTACAGCGGGGTACTTCAGAGTGCAGACCCCAGTAATAATTACAGAATACCAGGTGTATGGTTGCCCTGCTTCTAAGGCCGTATGTGATTTACCTCTTCACTTCATTTTCTCTCTCCCTCTCACTCGCTCCCCTCCGGCCACATAGGCCCTTCAATGGTCCCACAATGTACCAGACACACTTCCACCACAGGGCCTTTGCACTTGCCGTCCCCTGTATGGACGGTACTTTGTCCACACAGCTCTGACCCTCATCTTCCTTCAGTGTCCCCTCACTGAAGAGTTCTTTCTTGGCCCTGTATCAAGAATCATACTCCACCCAATGAATAATTCCTGTCCCCCTCCCTGCTTTAATCTGTTCTTTAGCATTGGCCTCAATTATCAAAACGTACGGTATATTTTGCTTATCTTACTTATCACCCGCCTTATCCACTACTGTGAGAGCTCCACAGGACAAGGATCTTTGTTGATCTGGTTCACTGCTGTCCCCTCACCACTTGGACAACGATGCCAGCTCAGATGTCACCCTCGGTAAAGGTTTATGGATGAAGGTGGTTGACTAGGAGCCTAGAAGCTCTTGGGTCCACTTTATGGGGGACTCAGGGATTAAAGGGGTGCCTAACACCTTCGGGTACCTCATACAGGGGAGTCCTGGATTCTGTGGAGATCTCTCCGGGTACAGACCCAGGGATGTGCCCTGGCGGGGATATAGAATTATATGGAAGCCCACGTGAAGATGGAGGAGACCCTGTGTTGGGCACAGAGAATATTCAGGCATCTAAAAAAATACACAGGGACATGAGGGGGTTCTGGAAGTTTCTCTGGAGGAGCATTAAGGATCCTAAGTGGAGGTGTGGGCCAAGATCATCTGAGAACCTGCACCGTGTATGGATTTCCCTGACGCTAGTGGGACAGGAGGCCTGGGTGGGCAGGCTGGGAGGCCTGGGGAAGCACGTTGTTTGAGTCTTGGTTCAGCAACTCCCAAATTCTTTCCCTGGCTCTGCTTGTCACCCTCTTTCTTTGTCCCCATGTTCTCCAGCATGTGCCCTGCATCTGTATGTACACTACTGTTCTTTTAAGGTCCCCCCTTGCCATAGCTCTGCCTCTCTATCTCTCTCCTTCCACCTGTCTGTTCTTCCTGTCCCCTGGTCCCTTTCCCTCTCTCCCACTTTTCCCTCTGACCCTCCATCCTTCTGTCTGTCTGTGCCTCACTCACCTCCACATCCTTCCCTCCCTGTCTCTGTCTCTCTGTTCTGCCCATCTCTCTCCCCCACCTCCCTATCTCTTTCCCCTCACCTGTGTCTCTCCACCTCGCCTTCTCTCACCTTCCCCTTCACATCTGCGTTTCTGTACGTCTCTCTCCATCTCTCTGGCTGGCTCTTTCCCTCTTTTTCCCTCCTCTGTGCCTCTCCACCACGGTTTCTCTCCAGCTGGGGCCCTTCCTACGACTCTCTCCCATCTCCCAGTCTCTTCTTCCCACTCTGCTCTCCTTCTCTGCCCACCTCAGCCCGATTCCCTGCCTTGCGCCAGCGCTGTCTCTGGTTGTCTGCATCTCTCTAGCGAGCTGCCTCTTGTCCCCATCTCTATGTCACACTTCCTCTCCCTTTGTGTAGCTCCCTCTCGCCCGGTCTCTTTGCTCCGCATCTCTCTCCCTCGCCTTTCCTCCATCCTCTCCTGCATCCTCCCATCCCTCCCTGCACCCTCCCACCTCCTCTCCATCCCTCCGGCGCCCAGGCCCGCCCCCTGCCCCCGCTCCCCCTCCCCCCTCCGAAAGGGTTAACTTTGGGGAAGGGCCCGGAGTCCCCGGATGGTGATGTCAGCGTGCCGGAGAGAAAGGACGAGGTGGCGGGGGGAGGCGGAGAGGAGGAGGAGGCGGAGGAGAGAGGGCGCGTGGGGGGGCGGGGGGGACCTCGGCCTGCAGCATCCGCCGGCCCGCACCTCAGACCCCCCCGGCGGGGGGAGGCGCAGGAAGGGGGGGGGCCGGCCAGGGACGGGCTGGGGAGGGGGGGCCGCGCAGCCCCCCCGGGCCATGCTGACTCCCGGGGCCTGACCCCCCCGGGCCAGCCCCCCCTCCCCCAGCTCCGCGGCCCGCCGACTGGGGGGGCCCAGCCCAGCCCCCTGGGGACCCCCGGAGAGGTGGGGGGCAGCCGGGGGGGCCGGGACGGAGCTGTCGCCGGCCCCCACCGGAGGGACGGGGCGACCTGCCGCAGGGGGGGCGGCCGGGGGGCCTGTCGGACCGGGACCAAGGGCACCATGTCGTCCGGGGCCAAGGAGGGGGGCGGGGGCTCCCCCGCCTACCATCTCCCGCACCCACACCCACACCCACCCCAGCACGCCCAATATGTGGGCCCCTATCGGCTGGAGAAGACGCTGGGCAAAGGACAGACAGGTGAGTCAGGGGAGGGGACACCTGGGGTGGGGGCAGGAGAGCTGGGGGGCGAGGGCCGGACTCGTGGGTATTCAAAGGGCAGGGGCTGATCCCCCAGACCCCGGGGTCCCTGACAGAGAAGGGACTTAGGGTCAAGTCTGCTGGGTCCCCAGGATGGAAGGGGCCGGGGGCTTAGACTCTTGGGGGGAGGTGCTGAGGCCCAGAGGCTCCCACCTCACGGTTGGGGAGGGTGGTTAGAAGTTGGAGGGGCTCCAGGGCCTCGGTGGGGAAGGGAGGCCAGCCTGCAGCAGGGGCTCAGCCGGCCCTGGAAGCTGAGGTCCTTGCTGCAGTACGCCTCGGGATGGGGGTGCACCCTGGGCAGCCGCTTCTCTCTGCACTGCTTTTTGGCTGAGGAGGGCCTCGGGCTCCCCTGGCAGGCTGTCCGGGTGACCGGCAGTGAAGCTCGGGTGGTGGGGTGTGCCGCAGTCTCCCCCTTCTCCAGCGTGCTGGCTCCGTGTGGAGAACACGAACGGCCAGGTGGAAAGGTGGATCCGAGAGTCAAATCTCCCAGGAGTGGTTGGGGAATCAGGGGTCATCCTTTGCTGTCGCTAAACGCTGGCTCCAGCCCTGGCCTCTTTCCTGCCAGGTGGAGGGTGGGTGGGCGTGAAGCAGGAGCTGCACACCTGTGTCCGGGAGGGGTGGGCCCAGAATCTCTTGTGAAGCTGAGGGCCAGGGCGCTAGGGAAGGGGAAGGGCTCAGACCTCAAGATCCTAGTGGTAAGGATGTGAAGGTGTCACTGACCTGAATTCCTGGGTTATGGGGGAGGAAGG